CCGGACAGGGCATCACAGTATGGTAAGGGGCGTAACATTTCTGTCACATGCTTGAGGTATTCGTACAATCACAACGCACTGGATAGCTCGCCAATCAGAGCACACCTCGCTTTTCAGAATGATGAGTTTGTAAAAATTGACGTGTTTCAGAAAGGCGGGGCATAGAGGAGAAACAATAATAATGTGTTTTTTTAACCTTAGACCGCATAAACACATTTCATTACACCAAATACACAACATAATGTTCTTTTTAGCAACATCATATGATTCCTTTAACCAAAAACCCATTAAAACAAACACTGACAATGGAAATGGAAGTGCTAAAATGCTAACTCATTTCTAGGTTTTATGACTCATTCCTGCAGTACTCTATACAATAAATGCATTTTTTTGTAAAAAAAAAAAAAATAGGCAAGTACATACATACAAGTGAATGTGACTGTATCTGTGTAGGAACATTTAAAGCTGATCTAGTCAGTCATCAGTGCCACCTACTGTATAGGAGTGTGCATTGCTCTTTAAAATGGTCACTGTTCTTTCACTAGGGACTATGTGCAGTACTGGGCAGCCCGCGGTGTAGAGGTGGTGGGCTGGACGGTGAACACGGCTGTAGAGAAGCAGTACTACCAGCAACTACTGAAGATCAACTACATCACCGACAGTCTCGTAGAGGACTGTGAACCTCACTACTGAAATGCCACATTGTACAATCACTAGGTTAGGCCTTTAGTAATTCAAGCAACTAAACTGTTCTGCTTCACTCAAAATATTAAAGTATGTCTGTAATGAATTGCTCTGATTCAGGAAGCATGCTGTAGGGACTTGAAATTTACAGGGTAACAAAATGCTTTCATTGTGTAAAATTTATAATATGGGATATGTAAATATCAATGTTCAAATGTACTGTACACACCCACTCAGGTGAGCCAATTTGACTAGATCCACCTTTTTCTTGTCATAAAAATGGGTGCGGCCATTTGTAAATTCTGTGGGTCTGGCTTCCGGTCTCATCTGCGTCCACTCCGTCCAGCTATTTTTAGCTGAGCAAAACAGTTCGTTTTGCTGCTTGATATTGAAAGTTGGTGTGTCTTATATTATTTTAATGTATTATCTTAATTATGAACACGCTGGTTTGTAGTGCAAACAGTTTTACCGTTTACTGCACGTTCTTATTCTCCTCGTTATTTACATACAGCAGCTAATGAACCGGAAGTCTCACCCATAGGCTTACTTCCGCGTTGAAGAAAAAGGTGGATAGGTAATATCATTATTTTATTTCCATTTTAATGGCATTATTCATTGAAGAAGGACATTTTTGAGGAAAGAAGGGAATTCATTTAGCAAACCAGCTTTTGTTTTACTGCTACTTAAATTGTGCAGAAACAGAGCGTTAAAAAATTGCTGAGCTACTGAATATTTAGGATAAGGTATGGCTTCTCTCTCATTCATGAAATTAGCTGTGTATACCTTGCTATTTGGGTTTGCCAAGTCTGGTACTGATAGCTAATGAACAGGTTACACGTAAAACCACATTTCTGTAGCTATACCTACCTTAAGAGGGGTCAATAAACTTATAAAAGGAGCAACAGATCTTGATCTGAGGCAAGATCTCAGGCAGCTACCAAATGTTGGATAAATACTAATTCAGGATTATTTGTAAGTGGCATGTTCCAGTTTTCTTTGATGGTTATACTAAAATAAAATGATACAATTCTTAATTAACAGCCATTTTGTCTTAGTAGTTGCATTTCAAGGACTGTTGTACAACAGTGGTTATGTAACAATTGCCTTCTCTCTTCTTTCTTGTTATATGTAGTCCTATTGATTTAAAGGGTGAAAGGTGTAACTAAAGTACCTGCATCGCAGATTAGCGAGATTAACCGTATGGTTTGACCCAAACAAACTGTTAATGTGGTACCAAGTAAAGCCTGGCCGGTGTAGTGCCAGTATTTGCACCCCTGCCAGATTATGCACCCCCTAGTATTGGTAGGTTTAGGAGTAGGTGTGGGGGAGGGGTTAGGATTAGGCAATCAAGTAGCGACTTCAACGAGGGGGTGCATAATCTGGCAGGGGTGCAGAATTCGGCACAACACCGGAACCGCGTCGTAGCCGCTCACATTTGCGCAGCCCGACTTTATCATACCGCGCGGTCGTTTATTATACGCGTTTATCAGTTGTATGTTTGGCGGCATGATGAAACCCGTTTTTAGATGGTACACAGAGCCGGTTTGATGGTGTCCACAAGGTGAGTAGGTGAAAGGTGACCCCGGTTGAACGTCGCGGGGGGCGTGCCGTGACGTCACGGAAGAAGGCTGCGAATGCCAGCTGAACGTCCAGAGTTTACAGTAGAGTCCAGACCGAACCAGAGCTCAGAGAGTTTCTCAGCACCGGGCACTCCGACGCGTAATCAGGGCAATAACCTTGACTGACCTCAAGTAAACGCAGGCGCCTAAGTCTGAACTGCAGATTCGCGGTCAGGATCGCCGCTCGTTTCCACGGTGGCTGCGTCAAGAGAGCTGCGTCCTGAAGCGGGATCGCGTGACGTGTTCTGGCGTGCGTGTAATCGTGACTTTCGCACTGAGCGATCCGTAGACCTCGCGTGGATCCATCGCGCCGCAGGGGTTCTTCAGAAACCGCGTCTCACATGATGTACACAATAACCAGAGGTCCCAGCAAACTTGTTACACAACGGAGAACAGGTATAATTTCACCAGCACGCATACATATCATGTCACATTAGTCGGTGCGTTGTTTATTTAGCGTTCTTTTAACGCTATTATAGTAGATATTTAAGAATAAACCACGTGCGTCTATTTAATATGGTCGACATTACTTTAAATACGTATGAACAGATATTGTTTCTTGCAGGCCCTACGCAACAGATTGAGAGCAAAGCGAACGACCTGAAACAGAAGCAAAGCCACTGGTTTGTATCGGAGTGAGTAATAATAGCATTTATATGTAACACCTGAGTTTGGTCCCTGAGGGGGAAAATGATTTAACTGCACCTTTAAAAAGCGTGCCCGTCTCGTGTATGAGTTTAGCACACTTAAAATTATCTGTACCGAACAAGTTGGCCTCATTTCTAAGCCAGGACGTCCCGTTTTTACGCTTGTGCCGAAGTCGCTTGTTTTTTCTTGCGCCGTGTGTGTGACCTTGCATGTCGGCGGTTTTGAAGATCGTGTCGCGATTGTATTCGTCTTCATGTCGGTATAAGGGTTAATCACTAACCTTTTGGGGTTATTATAATGCGAGCACATGCTTGTCACACCCCCCTCATATTCCCACAAGGACGTCGTGTAGCTCCGCGTGCTGCTTTCTAGGCTAGAGAGGGTCGCGTTTGTCTGTCATTTTGCGTTTGAGATTTCACCGGTTTAATTTAACTTCTACCGCTTGTTATGATGATATAATAAACAACCGTGTTTCATAACGTGTCGTTGTTACTGTAGTAACGACATTGTGTAAGGAAGTATTTGGACTTAAAGGAACAGTTCACCAAAAATTCGCGTTTAGTCGTTAAAATGGGAATTAATATTGTTATATGTTAAAGAATGTACTCTTTTTCCATGTAGTGAAAGTGAATGTTTTTTTTAAATGAATACAATTTCTTTATTTAAATTGAAAGTGTGCAAATGAGAGATGAATGCAATGTAAAAATTAAAAAAAGGAGCAGGAATTGAAGGAGACCGAATGTAAAAATCCCAGGACTGATTCTTGAAAACTCGTACTGATCTATTGTTTGTAGTTCACCAGCGCCTAAGATTGTATTTCACCGGCTGAACGGAAAGCGGTTCCACAGATCAACCTCTCCAAAAGCTGAGAACACTACTGAGAGATTCACCCCAGCACACGAGGAAAATGTTCGGTTTGTTTATGAGGGTGAGTTGAGTAATGTTGAATCCTTGACCATTGAGACCTTGAGGAGGGCTAAGGTTGGGGCAAGTAGTTGCCATGACCTTAATGGACTTTGAAGAGCGACCAAACGGATTCAAGGCTCTCGAGTAACTTGAAGTCTTTACAAGTTTGCAGCTGGTCTTGATTCTTTATTAAAGTTTTAAGAGTTTAATCATGTGCAAACTAAAGTTGTGAATGACTGGGGTTCAGACTCTTATAAATGTACTTTATAATGAGGTAAGTCCAGCAGAGTTTGTGTGAAACAGGGCAATTCTTATCTTTTGTCTGCAGGCCAGGCTCCACCTCCAGCAGCTGATGCAATGGCCCTCAAGGGCAGTTTTCATGCTCTTTTGTACAATGACAGGCTAGTCAACTGAGGCTTAATGTGTTGCAAAACTGCTTTAGTCAATCGAAAAGAGCTGTATGATCCGGTAAAATCTCGCAACCGGTTTAGGGAGTGTAAAGGAAGCAATTAGAATTGGTAAAAGTTGTCCACATTTACTTCTACCGAGTTGCCAATGAGAATAAGATCATGTTTTTTCTAGATCTAAACTCTCCTTTTGTTGTGATGCATTGCATTTGTAGTGTTTTCACAAGTAGTATGTTGGGATACGATGCAAATTAGGACAAAACATGTCTGTTTGGTTTGTATACCTCTCCATTCGTTTTTGATCACTGAATGAAGGATTTTAAAAGACATTCAGATATAGACTTGTTCACAAATGAATCGTTCTGGCTACAATATGAACATGCATTGAAAAGAATCAACTCAAATTAATGATTCACTAATGAATTAGACGTCACCATGACTTGCAAATTTTAATCTACACGAGAGCAGTATATAAAGAGTTTCTGCAGATTCTATGAAGATAAATGTACGATTTTTCCATGTCTAGGAATCCTAATGAGTTGTATTAGCAGCACTTTAAAGTTTGATATACAACTTCCTACATATTTCCATTACTTTTTCATTCACTTTACAAAAAAATCAATTATGGTATGAAAACTCGAAGGGGAAAAAAGTTTCATACTCCATTGACATGCTTGTTCTTGTTTTAAGCATAAACACCTAGTTTTGTTACATTTCTTAGAAAACAAGACTTCATATCATCATTTTGCATCTCAAGTAAATGTATCTTGATTTTAAGGATGTTTAGATATTTGAACTAGAAAACAAGACCAAAATACAGTGGAAGTTTTTTTGCAATCGATGCAACATTTAATGCCATGACTACGAATTTAAGATTTCTTCTCTGATTTAAGACCTTTTTAAGGTGTTAATTGTTGGAAGACTGAATTGTAATTTTATACTGATACAATATCTTATGATTGCAGCTTGGCAGGAGGTGGAACATAAGCTTGGAGAGGGATCCCAGCCGGAGAACGGGAAAGGCCCAGTTCAGTACGCGGAGAGAAGCCCCAATCCCGGCATGAAGAGTCAGTCTAGGACTTCTGTCCTATTTACTTTCTTTAAATAGTATATTTTGCCGACTTGTTCTCTCTTCTCAGCCTATTTTGAAGGCCTCTTCTGTCTTTCGGATACACAAATTCAATTTAATGTAAAAATGGTCATTTACTCACCCTCATGTCGTTCCAAACCTGTATGAATTAGTTTCCGGAGCACAAAAGGATCTGTTTTGAAGAAAAGCTGCTTCCACACTACAAATGAAAAAAAAAAAAAAAAGTCCATACATTTTGTGTGCTATTGTTTAATTCAAATATGGTACGATCTCAAAGAACTCACCCAGTCTCTGTCTTTTTCAGATTTTGTGCCTATTGATCTCGAGGAGTGGTGGGCCAAGCGTTTCCTGGCCAACATTGCCAACCTGTCATGACAGGTGCATGATGGGGCATGAGGAGATGTGGCTGACCGGTCCAGACTGAGGCAGTGCAGCCTGAATTTCTGATGAGCTCAGGTGATCATGCGAGAGATTTGCACACTGTATGAATTCAGCCTTTCCTGTGGAACTGTTTGCCCAGCCGGACCCGGACTCTCTCTCATGCACACGGAAGACGATCAGATTTTTCTTCTGCTTTTCTTTCTTTGTTAGAATGTGAGATGTCCGTTTTTCTCGGCAGATCTTTGCAAAAAAGTGATGTTATAAAACAACCCCCCCAAAAAAAAAGTCCAGTAAAAAATTTTCAAGATGTCTTTGGTGATTTTGTTCACTGTTGGTCACGTTCTGATATCATTGGGTGCAGATTTATGGGTCATATATTATATTTATTAACTTCTGTCATTTTTATTTAATATTTTTGCATTGATTTATTTTTTTTTTTTATAATTAAGTACAAGTGAAAAAATAATTCTTATTGTCATACAATAATGAAAATAATTTCTGGACACATATAACTAGTTGTGTGAAATATACTTGTTTGTCATGAAAATATTGTCACAATGCAAAAATAATACAATCTTCATATTATTCAGCAAAACTGGTTGACCGCACATTTATTACCGTTTTCGTAAAAAAAATTTTTTGGCAAGGGGTTTGTTTGAGAGGCACATTTTGGTTATAGAAATCTAAACTGTTGGATGAAATTTACAACATAAAACGGCTTAAAATGAACATGTGACATATACATTAAGAAATGTCTTTTAATTGCATTATCCAGACATTAAATTAATTTAAAATTATATTTTCAATTCAAACATTGTACAAAAGAAAAATCAATCTGAAACTGATATACAAAAACAAATGCATTTTGATTTAAACCCTTTCACTAGAAGGTTTAAGACCCTGAGTGTGTGTCAGACGTGTTTATCAGAAACAGTTTAGTTGAAAAGATGAAGACCATTATTGTCCTTTAACAACTTATTCTTAAAATCGTGTAGTTTTACCACAATTTTATTGCAACCCTCATGCAATTCCTCCACTGGGCTTAGCTGTTTTTTTCCTCCCGCTTCCGGCTGCACCACCGCTGGTTGTCGTTTTCACACGTCGTTTCCTGCGGGAAGATGCATTCTGGCCTTGTTTGGCCGTACTGAAGGTAATGCACTGTTTTTTCCTCCCGCTTCCGGCTGCACCACCGCTGGTTGTCGTTTCCTGCGGGAAGATGCATTCTGGCCTTGTTTGGCCGTACTGAAGGTAATGCACTGAGAGTCCAGGAAATCTAGTAGTTTAGCAGCACTTAACCTGATGCCCGCCGCTTTCAAGCTGGACCGCAGCTCCGCCAGGGAGAGGCTGATACTGCAGCACTCGGGCATACAGCTTGGGGTCGGATAGGATGAACTGACGAACTGCGAGGAGTCTGTCCTTCTCGCGCACAACAGCCTGAGATGCCGTGATGCCCTCGCTGTCCGGAGTCATCATCTGACACACAGCTCTGGGTTCGACCTGGAAAGAAGAAAATGGTTGAACGAAGTTTGCTTTGTAGTATTAATTGGGCATATAGCCATTAAGAGCTGTACCTCTCGGACTCTGCAGTGGAGGATGTATTCGAGTTTTGAGAGGCTGATAAAAGCTCATCTTCTTCACTTGGTGGCAGTTTCACAGGTGAGACAGCAGGGGGCGCTGTAGGCTGCTTAAAGCAGAGCGGGAGTTGGAGGCATTCGGGTGGCGTTGGGGTCCAGAGGTCTCCTCCTCAGACTCTGAGCTCTGCAGCTGGTGGGTGTATTGATGGATCTCTTTCAGCTTCAGAACCATCTGCTTCTTGGGCAGCGGACGCACACCGAACCTGGACAAAAAAACATTTCGCAGCTCTGTGTTATTGAACGTGATGCTTTGGCAGACGTGTCTGCTATAAAACTTATAGAACTGACTTCATACGTGCACAAAAAAATTAACTTGTAAACAGTTAAAAGTCATTGCAAAAGGTAATTTTAGTTTCAGTTGTTTTCCACTTTGTTTGTGCTATGCAATGGCATTAATACATTTTTTAAGCATTGTAATATCTATATATTCTTGTTAGGCTCACCTGTTGTGTTTGTTTTTGAGCTCTGGTGTGTCCATATCAGAGAAGCCTGGCATGGGAGTGATGGGCACCAGCGGTCCTTTATTCCTCTTTCTGCAAGCAACTGCAGAAAGGTAAAGTTGATTTTAAGAAGGTTTTCTAAAGCAAAAAAGGCTTTCTGAATGAATAATTAACATCTGTGTACCCATGTCATAATAAATAAGAGCTCCGGTGAAACATAACTAACACAGAGGACGACTTGTCTTACCTGGAGTCTTTAGTTCGGCAACTCTCTTGGCAGAGGGAGCTGTCAATCTCTGAGAAAGAGGAAGGGGAGCAACCTCCTCTTCCTCCCAATCATCCCACATGTCAGGGTCAGGTAGGCTGTGATTAAATGGACCTGGACTTTGATCAGGAATTTTGTTACAAGCTCCAGTTGCAAGAGGAGACGTGGACGTTGGTCCCTTACCCTCGAGACCTGGTGGACTGACTGTACCTCCACTGCTGTCAAGTCTTAGACTAAAGCAGGGCTTCTGGCTTCCAACCCCTCCATCCAAACCCCAGGAGTCATCAAACGCTATAGGAGGCTCATCCATGACACAAAATGAGTTTCCTGCAATATCAACCACTTCGTTAACACTTTGATTTGGATTCTCTTCTCTCACTCCTCTTCCAGTCTCATCCATGTCACAGGAGGAGTTTCCCGCAATATCCACCAATTCTTCAACACTTTGATTTGGATTCTCTCCCAATTCCATTCGTTCTATCCTATCGTTCTCACTCTCTCTCAAACTTTCTGGATGAATGTATCTTGGAGAGTTCGGGGACGGACTGGAGCATCCCTGCTGAAGAGAGCTACTCTGCTGCTTTTCAGGCGTTTTACTAGGAGAACTCCTTTGTAGAGACACTAGGTCAACTTTCCCCTGCCTACCGAAGGATCTAGAATTACCTCTACAATTCCTAAGCCGAACCTCACGGTCGTCAACCATAGGGGAGCAAAATGGGATCTGACGTTGTAAGGAAGATTCTGAATGGAGAGGAGTGCTACTGGAGGGCTTGGGGACACCCTGTGTTGGATGTCCCATTATGATGCCAATGTGGGAGCCATCAGAAACATCTGTAGAAGAAACCTGAGACAGCCTTAGATGGTGAAGTGGTCTCTGGTAACCTGGAGAGCGATCTGTTTCAATGCTATGACATTCTTTAGAGGGACTCTGATATGATTTGTGCAATTTGGACAAGGTTGCTGGTTTCTCTTTTAGGCAGCTGCTGCTTGAAGAAGCAGAGCTAGCAGGTTTTAAACCCTCCGAGACAGAGGAAGAGGAAGAAGAGGACGATGACTTGGGGAAGAGCTGGGTTCGGCGCATGCTGATGCAGGTCTGGGCAGAGCTACAGCGTGTGGATGGTACTGGAGTGGCTGGAATCAGCCAGGAAACCTCGGCAGAGCCATCAAACACACTTTCATTCTCAACCCCGGGGCTACAGTGCTCTGATCGGTCAGACTTTGCTTCTATATCAGTATCTATCTGCTTGGAAACATCTACCCGTTTGCCGGCATGGCCTTGGGATCCAGATTCTTTGAAACTGTTCTCTTTGACTTTACAAGCATAGCTTGTGGACCTCTGAGGAGGTTCTGAGGGAGATTCGCAAGGAGACGGAGGAGTCAAAGCACGTTTAGTGGTAGCAGCATTTTGGTCACCATCATCTACATCCATTTCATCACCGGAATCTGAGAGAACAATGAGCTCAACCTGCTTGCTTTGAGATTCTGGAGGGGAAGGAGGGTTTTCAATTCCCTGGCATCCTGAACTGTCTTTTCTTAGTGGAGTCTTACCTGTATCTTCACCCTCATATAGAACAGGAGACACTCCAGGCATGGGGAAGGAAGTCTCACCTGACACACCTGAGCTTGGTGGAGGGCTTATAGACAGGTCAATCACCTCACTGACACATGAAGGGCGAAATGGGGCGGGTGTGTTTTGCTGTAGTGTGCTTGATGGCTTGTAACATTGTTGCTGAGAGCAGGACACTTGCATCTGTGACGGTTCCATGTATTCCCCTACAGACTGGGAGAATAAACCGTCATAACTATTGCCTAGACTGGCATCTGAGTCTCTGTTTTCATCTAATTCTGGAATCAAACAAACTCTCTCAGTCTCTGAATTGGGGTTTTTAAGGGTTTCTGTTGGACTTGTTACCATGGCAGCTTCCGTCCCATCCATGCCTTGTTTGTTACTATAGCAACTGCCGGCAGATTTCTCTAAATGGGATTCTGTCTCGTTTTTCTCCTTCCCTTCATCCTTCTTCTCATTTCCAAGTAATGTATTCGCATCTCCCTCCTCTTCCTCTTCCTCGGTCGCAGTCTCCAACATCGTCTCTATCTTCCTTTGTGTCACTGCAAACTCATAGATCTCATCAAGCTCTTCCTCATCCACCCGGTCCTCTTTCTCTCCATATCCTCCCTCTCGCTCCTCTTCCATGTCTCTTTCCTCTCCGGCAGTTTCTTTAAAGTCATCCTCTTCTTCGCTGTCCCCATGCTGCCACATTGATTGGAGGAGCTCCAAGAAGTTGCTTTCTGCCAAGTTCTGGTCTTCTTGGTCCCTGAGATGAGGCTCAGGTGCTGGAAACATGCCTTCAGATTCCTCTCTTGGGTTTTCCTCTACACTTCCAGAATATTCCTCACTGCTGCTGCAGCTCAACCAAACCAAATCTGAAATACAACACAGATTTACTATCCTAGAATCAATTTATATCCAGTAGGATTGGGAAATAATTGTAATATTTGAATCACACCATAAGGATCGTCATTCTAACCTATCGGCAAGCTCCTGCATGTGGGGTAGCAGAGTGTGTGTTAGAGGACAGTGGGCTGTGTAAAGATACTGCAGGAGGGCCAGTACTGCCTCCCCAAGCACATTACCCAACAACACCCTATGAGCGACAGGCATACCCTCCTCCTGAACGCCAAAACCTGAGTCATGAACCTACAAACACATGGTAACAGTTTGGTTATTCGTCTGCACTTCTCGATTATTAGTTCATGCTTGTGGCGTCAGTGTGCAGCTACACTAACCATGTTGGCCAGCAGG